GCTATGATGCCACCTCTGTTCTCTAGCATTTGATGGTGGTGGAGATTCTCTACTTCTGTGTGCTCCCTGCCAAAGGCACAGAATGTGGTCTGTTAACCCCATCACCACAGTTTTGTGCAGCATGTGTCAGACATTTCTTTTCTTGGGTTGTCTGAGACTGCTCTCACTAGGATGGGGCTAGTGAGGCTGAAGAGGGCTCTGTTGACTGTTTTTACTGGGCCCCTTCCGCCCTGTTCTCTCCCTCTTTTGTGTGTGTATGTGTGTGTGTGTTTCCCAGTATTGGGGATTGACCCCTGAGCCTTTCCAATGAGCCACATTCCCAGCACTTTCTAAATTTTAAATTTTTGAACAGTATCTCTAATCTGCTAAACTGTGCAAACCTGTTTTCCAGAGTGCTGTGGAGCTATCACACCCAACTGTCTGTTGTAAGATTGGTGCAGTGGTGAGGCTTCCCTGGGCATCACGGTGGATAGGACTGCTCTTATTCTACCAGTGCACCCTTGCCTCTCCCCCTATCTGTCTGTAGGTGGCATGTGGAAGGCAGGGATGTGGAATCAGTGCAGACTGGGATCCTCCCATGCAGGACACCCCTTCAGTGGCCCTCTTTCCACTGGCATGGTGAAGCCCTACCACTTCAGTCCCTCCACTGATTAGCCCTTGGAGGTTTCCGGTCCTCACATGAGGGGTCTGAGGCTGAGCTGGGGTTGATCAGTTCCCAGCACCTCTGTTTCTGCTCATTGGCCATGTAAGGTGTGGGAAACTGGGATCCAGGTAGTGAGAGAGAAAATGTGACCCCGGAGAGGAGGATGGGTTTGCCTCATAGTCTACCTGTGCAGAGAGGACCAGAGTTCTTTCTGTGGGTATTCGTTGACATGGGAGCTGCTGTGGCTGTCTTGGGCATGAGCACCCAGGAGAGGACAGCCGGGCCTGAGGTGCAGTGAGGCTCTTTCCAGTGCTTGCTCACACCACAGACCTCCAGCTCTCCTCAGAGCCTTTGGGATCCTGTGGGGCAATGAAGTGGGTACTAGAAGATTCTTTTGCAATGATCATTTCTTTTGCAAGAACGTGCTTCTTACCGGGTGTCTTATCGCTGGGTTGCAGTTCCTTCTCTGTGTGCAGCAGCTCCCACATTATGTCCATAGGCAGAATTAAGCAGGATGGGGTCCACAGATCCTGCTAGGGCACTCATCTCCCAGTCCCCACTGCTAGACGAGGAAGAGTCCTCCCAGGTGGTGCCTGCCACCACAGAGGTAAGGTTGGCCTGTTGTTACCGTTTGTGTCTCTGCAAAGCCGCATGCAGTCATGGCGGGGGTGGGGATTTGGTTCAGAGATGGCTAAATCTAGAGTTTGTGATTGATTCATGATCTAATGCTGGGATTAAGGCTGTAAATGTCTAGGGTATCCCGCATTCATTATGAAGGACAGAAAGAAGCTTGTCTTCCCCCTCCTGTTGGTTTTGCTGTCTTCTGCTGCCATGAATGGTTGCCCCTCTGCTATGTGCCACCCTGCCTTGGAGCCAATGGATTATAAGCTGAACCCTCTACAAACTGTGAACTAAGTAAATCTTTCTGTCTTTAACTTTGGCTGTGGGGTGTTTTGTCTCAGCAATGAGAGAAAAATAACTAAGACAACTGTTGAGAGCGGGGATTCCACCCCTGCTCACTGAAAGTGGCTCTCTAAGTGATAGAGAGGTTGTTACTGCTGCAAGTTCTAATGCAAAGTGGCAAGGTGGCTTTGCCCCCAGGAGCATTTACCTCGAATAGGATGCCCAGGATGAGTTGTAGATGGACAGCGTTTGGGTGTTGGCTAAGTCTCAGGATCCAGGCAGTGGGACTCTTGCGAGGCTTAGAGGTCTACAGGAGGCTGGCTAGGCTCCAAGACATCCCAGGACTGCCCTCCTGTGTGGCAGTGGGATCTTATGTGTTTTCCTGGCAGCTCTACCGCTTAAGGCCTTCCCTGAGTTTTTGTGCCTCCCTCTCTGAGCCCTCTTCCTGCCTGCCCCCTCTTCGTTGCTGCTGATCCTACCTGGTTGGACAGCATGAGACAACCAGTGTGCAGTATTAGGGGTCCCACTCATGACTGTGGGGGACAGCTATGGCCCGGCCTTTCTAGTTCCTCAAGAAGCCCATTCCTCTAATTCTGACCATCTCCCTCACAGACACCTCTCTGCTGGGTATCTGGACCTTGCTGGACACAGAAAAGGTCACAGGCAGAGAGTAGGATAGGCCTATAAATCTGCATGTTTCCTGGGAGGCCTAAGGGACATCCCCCTCCAACTATCCTAGTCACAGTAGTCACTGTTGCCACCCACTGAAGTATAGGGAGGCAGTTTACTTCCCCTGTAGAAGATAGGTAAACAGTTGTCCTCACACCTGCTGGCATCTCATCCTCTGAGCCTGGGGGAGTTGGTAGGGGTGATGCCATTGCCCTCTCTTCCTCAAAGGTCTGCCAAGGATAGTTCTAGGTGTTCTGGCAGACTTTTACATGCCAGTAGGCTCTCTACTTTTGCAATCTAGAACACATACAGTGGACTATTCCACATGTCAGATCAGGAACATTTCAAGTGAGGTAGACTCTTGTATAAGACTGGCATTATATTTGCCTTTCCAATCCTACTACAATTATCTCAAAGCTATAGTTACTTAACACTTCTGTTAAAACACAACTTAAAGAATATGTGTGGAAATGCCCTGGCCTTTCTTATGAAAATAAAAAGGATTGGCTGATATTGGTTCAGTCGGGCTGGAACTTTCCAAAAGACTGTTTAAGAGAGATTCTAAGAAAAATGCCTAGAGAGAATAAATGTGAAACAGATCTGGAACTACACAAATAATTATTAGGGGTCACTTATGCTGATAGAGATCTGTTGAGAACTGCAGAACTCTGAATTTAAATCCTTGTGCTAAAATACACAACCCAACTAATTGAGCCTATCTTCAAGCAGCATAAGACTATGTCCTTAGGGTGACCCTAGCCATACCCTACATCTACTACCTCCATTAATGTCTGCTTGAGGAAAATGCAACACTCAACACAGGAAAACTCACTGTATCCTAATCAATATTTGACAATAGGATCAGTTTTGACCTATCTTTTTCAAAACTCTTATGAAGAAGGGTTTCAAATTGAAAAAATGTATTTCTTACAACTCAGAATGAAGCTAGGGATTGAGACCAGATCTTGTGCCTGACTTCCTATGTAGCTTCACCTGACCCCTTACTTCCCTTCTCTCTCTCTCAATCTCTCTCTCTGTCCCTCTCCCTCTCCCTCTCCCTCTCTCTCTCTCTCTCTCTCTCTCTCTCTCTCTCTCTGTTTCTTTCTTTCTCTCTGCGAGTTTAGTGATCAGCAAGAGGGCTTTGGGTAACTACCCTATCTAGCCTGTCCATTGTGTACTATGTCAGGAACTGCGTGTGACAAACTAATCAGTGACAAGGAACTATGTACTAATGTTCTTGAGATTTGCAGAACTGCAAAACATCTCATGACTAGGTGATTAAGATAAGATGTGTGTCATTTGGCCACAAGCCTATATCTATTCCAGCTTGTGACTGCTCATCTCTTATGTAAATTACCTGTAATGAAATCTTTGGACAAGAACCCTCCATTTTTTTCACTTAAAAAATTAGTTAATTAATAATTAATTATTTTTCAGTCAGCTTTTTTAATACAGTTGTCATTCTTCTGTTAATACCTTGTCTTTCAACTTAACTGGCCTGTCATGTAGCAGCCAGTCAAGGCTGGGTCCACTACCAAGAAAGGCCTAGCTCACTACCTGAGCAATTCCTTTGAAATAAGGTAAAAAGGATAAGGTTTGTCCTTCAGTCTTTGTAGGAAAATAGAATTCTTACTTAGACAACTGCCACAAATAGCTAGCCTCATTACTTTTACATTGACCAATTTGTTTTTTCACTTCACTGACCAACCTCACACATTTTTTCGTCCCTTATTGTCCCCTTAAAACATACAAGTTACATCTGCACAAATCAGAATGGAGTTCCGCTCTTTCCTTTAACACTAGTCGTTACTGAATAAAATCTGCTCTCACTGCTTTAACTCATGCTCAGCTACATATCTTTGTCTTTCACTAGAAGTGGAAATTAAAAGACAAGGAAAAGGAGTCAAGGAAACTATTTTTCTAAGACTAATATTTAAATATCATCATTCCAAACACAGTAGTAAGAGACGTGTACCTACTAGCTTCAGGGGACCATATACTCCAAGTGGGATGTCTGACACAGCATGAATGTAAGGGCTGGGATGCAGAACAGATACAGAAGCCACTATCAAAGCCTCTGGGAAGTGTAGTCTTTGAGGCAAAATGAGACACAATGCACTGGCATCATTTTAGGATCATAGGTTATATCAAATTGAACACAAGCATCACTCTGGCTACCTTGAAGTTGAGGAGAATCTGCAGCTCATGAGGCAAATCTTGCAGTGTCATTTGGGAGCTGCTGGCTGCATATCTGGCCAGGTACCTCAGGTATTCTTTATAGTTCAATCATTTTTCCCTGAATAGCCTTCATTGAGAAGGATCCTGGGAGCTTCTGCTCCTACAAAGATTCCAGGTGGTACAGTTTAAAGCTCAGCCCAGGAAGTCTTCATTGTAGAGTCTCTGGGAACTATTGGCTGCATGCTCACTTGTCCAGGATTGATCAGACATATTGGACAGTGCAGTCTAGCACCTGACATCATAGTCCTCAACAAAGAAACCTTTGAGAACTGAGGCCCACACTATTTTGTGTAGTGAAATCTGAACCTGATGTTGCATTTGATCCCAATTTCGAGCCTTTATATGACCTTGAACCTTCACTTGATCTTGGACTAAAAACGAGATATTGAATGTGACCTAGATCTTGAACTTGCTGAGCTTGCACTACGTATATCAGGTGATAGTATCCAGTATTCAAATACCTTGCCTACAAAAACACTAAACTTACTCCCTACATCTAGCCATCTAACCATAATGATATAAATAACTCTCACTCAACCCTAGAACATAAATCCCAATTCCTACACTAATTCTAATGCCTAAACCTAACCTTTGTTTCCTAGCCCCAACCCCCAAACCAGTGCCCACTCTTATCCTCTAGCCATGACCTTAACATTAGCTATAATCACAATTCCTACCCCAACCCTAACCCTATCCCTAACCCTAAAACCCCAACTCCTAACTCTGTGTCCTTAACCCTCAACCCTGAATCCTAATCCTAGCACCAACAGAGTTATAAGGTAGAGTTGGTAAATTTCCCCTAGGGTCATCCCTGGAAGGTTCTTTATTTCTATTTCTTGCCACACTGGGTCAACATACTTTAGGGGCCTTGGACACGGCAGGCTAGGCGGCACCGTGTTCTTCTTGCTTGAGCCCCTTTGCCCCAGCTTCCAGGGTGGACACCCCATCCAGGACCGTGTTCATGGAAGACACAGGAGGGCCTAGCCAATTTGGGGAAGGAGCTTATTGGAAGGGAATAGCATATAAGCGAGTTGTGTGCATTTACCAGCCACTAGTGCTGGTGCCCACTAAAGTTAAACCAGTGTAGGATTCTTCCTGTGTGGCATGGGCAGAATGCTGGACCTTGTTGAGTTGCAGCAGAATCGACCACTGCCTATATTACATGGGCAAAGAGACAGACTCGGACTGTAGGTTCCACAGCAGCCACTCATTCACTGTTTCCAATCCATCGTGTAATACGGGTACGGCTCGGTGGGAGACCTTTACGTATGAGCAAGTGACTAAGTGCTCAATAAGCCAATCGCCAGCCTGTAAAAGCACACTTGGCACCCACCATCTCCAAATTGGATTTGCCTTTGTTGGCTCGAAAGCTTGAAGCATGCGCAATAGCTCCCAAGCAGAGCGCCAGCCCTTAACCCCTCATCTACAGAGCCAACTGGCGCATGGAGTGTACTGCGCAGGCGCACTGAGCAGTGTCCTGTGAGAGCTCGAGGTTGGCCCAATCAGTCATCGAGGTGCGGCGCTGAGGGGCGGAACATGGCGGCGAGAGCGGGACCTTCGACCGAGGAACCTGCGGGACCCGCGGAGCCGGCCAAGGGAGTTGAGGGAGCCAAAGGTAGTGGTAGGCGCTGGGCTGGGCTAGAGAACTGGCTGAGGAGGCGTCTGGGTGGGACGGGCCGACTGCGCCGTGGTCACAGTGCTGAGGTGACCGTGAGGTTTCCCGTGGGTAGCTCCAGGGCTCTGGGAAGTGGGAGGTTACCCCGTGCCCGCCGCTCCGTTTGACTTGTGCCACTCCTTGGGGTTCGTGAGGTCTTCCCCACGCGAGCTTCCTCAGATTTTGTTTGGCCGACGCAGAGGAATTACGTTAAGAATTACCATTTTTGTGGCCCATACTACTCGAGGGTCGATGTCCTCGGACTGGGGTCTGAGGAACCGCCTGCTGACCACGAGGGCCAACGCCAGCGAGGGGAAGCAGGGGTGTCCCCAGCAGCTGCCCCGTGCTCACGCGTGCCCCACCGGACGGCCCCAAATCCGCTGTCTTCCGCTTCCCCTGAGACGCGCGTAGGGGGAAGTCATCCAGCGCTGTGCGTGCGGTGGTGGTGGTGGGGAGGCGGACAAGACGAAGTCATCTGAGCATCCCTAGGCAGGGCCGTGCAGACTGCCAGGCAGCCCGCTAGCTGAATCCTGGAAACTCCTACGAGTGTAGGAGTGATCATGAGAAGACTGCATGAAGCAAGAAAACCATGCGGTGAAACATAAAGCCTGAGAGACCACACCTGTGTCGAAGGATGGGGGCAGGTGGACACAGTATTTTAACAAAAACACAAATAACTGGTGACAGTGGGTTCCTTGAGGAAGAGGAGTTGGGAAACTGGTATGAGAGGAGAGTGTAGGAGGCTACTCTTCTGGGTTTCTTTCCATATTTTTTTTAAATGGAAGATTTGTCTTTTCTAATTTTCAAGAGTTTTAAGATGGAATAAATATTTTTCTAAACTTTTAAAAATATGAAAACAAGCACAAGTTCATGTGTGAAAAGTACACATCTTCCTTTCCGTCTCCTAATTAGCCGGTCCTATCTCTGAAGTAAGCACTGTCCACAGTTTGTGTGAGTGTGACTCTGACTAGGAATGCTCTAGACATAGTACACATATATCTATTTAATGACAGGTGTATCTTTTAACTCTGCAGCCAAAGAAGATCTGTCACTTTAGACTTCTTAACATTTTAGGAGCTCTTCGTATTAATATGTAGTACATGTAACATATATCAATTAAGCTTTTTTTACTGGCTACCCAGTATTCTATTGTATGGATACATCGTAAATCCTCTATAATAGGCGTTCAAATTGTTTCTTGTTTCTACTTGGAAAGATACTGCTTCAGTGTCACTGAACATGTGCTTTGCATACTTCAATGAGGACATTTGATGCATAAATTCCTGAAAGTGGAATTATGTCTTCAAAATGTTGATGAAGTCCTCCAAAATGTTGTATCAAGTTCCATAGTCTCTATCAATGGGTATGGGAGCTCTTTTTCACATGTCATCATAAACACTGGACATCTTCACATATTAATTTTTACCAGTCTCCTAAGTGCAGTACATTAATTTGTAATTCTTTAATCATGACAGATAGGATGTTATATTTTTTGGGGGAGGGCAGTCTCTATGCGGTTCAGGCAGGCCTTGAACTCCCTATATAGCCCAGGCTGATCTTGAATTCATGGCAGTTCTCCTGACTGAGCATTTTGAGTGCTTGGATTATAGGCATGTGCCACTACATCTGCTTATAGCATATATTTTTAAATATTTTTGACTGTTTATGTAATTTTTGTTACTTTAGCATTCTAGTGCTATAACAAAATACTTGAGATAATTAAAAGAGGAAAGGTTTATTTTGGCTCAGAGTTTTGGAGATTTAAGTCAACGGTTGGTCAGTTCTCTCACTTTTGGGACTGTGGCAAGGTGGTACGTCATAGCAAGAACACATGGTAGAGAAAGCTCCTCATTTCATGCCAACCGGGATGCACAAGTGGGGAGCTGGGCCCAAATATCTCTTTCAAGAGTGTTCCTTATTGACTGGAAGACTTCTAACTAGGCTTCACCTCTTAAAGATTTCATTACCTACTAGTAGCACTATGGGCTGGGGACAAAGCCTTTAACATTTGGGTTGTTGGGGGGGACAATTATCCAAATTATTATTATTTATTTATATTTTTCTGTTCTAGTGTTTCCAGTACTAAGGATTCAATTCAGGGCCTTTTCTTTGAGTTACATCCCTGCTCCCCCTTTAAAATATTTTTGTTTTGAGATTAAGTTGATAACTTGCCCAAGCTGAGCTTCAGCTTGTATTCTTTCTCCCTCAGCCTCTCAAGAGTGTTGAGATTACATGAGTATGCCAACACTCCTGGCCTTCTGTATGTTTAACTAGATACTTTATTATATTTACTAGTCTGTGTGTTTTTTGAATAAGAATTTGTAGGAAATCCTAATTGATAATGCCACCTTCCAGTTAGTGATTTTTCAATTCATATCGTTTTTTTACCCTTCTTTTTTTTTCATACATTCCTACTTTAGGAACTTTGACCCAACTTTGAACACATGAGTGTGAGAGCACCCCAACGCTCAGCTTGAGTTTTATAAAGGGGATATCTGTGGGATCATGGCACCATTCATGGAAAGGCTGACCATGGAGCAGCCCAATTTATCTCTTGCATATTTTCTCCTTCACAACAAAGCAGCACAGGCTCTCCTTTGTCTAGAGACCTGCCCTCAGCTCACCTCAGTCCCAGCCCAGGGCTACTGAATTCTTTGCGTGGCTTTTTATCATGTTGGGTTTTGAAGTGTATGGTTTTGTTTTCACAGGGCAGGACACATCCACACAGAAAATTGAAGACTTGATGGAAATAGTGAAAAAACTGCAGAAAGGTCCTGTGTCTCTTCCGTGTATAAGGTTTAACCTGAGGTTTGAGGTCAAGCATACGTGGGTTCAATTCCAGGTCCCACAATTCACAACCTTCAGAAATTATTCTGTTCATTTTTACTTTCTCTTAATATTGAAAATTTTGAACTGAAAGAGCCCCAATGGTTCAAAACTACAGGAGTGTAAGAGTATAGGAAGCATAGTGTTTTCCTAAAATCCTGTCTCAAGCCCTTTGCTGTTCACTTATTTGACTCCTATGGCACTCCTAGATTCAGAGGTTTTCACCTACACCCCCTTTTCTTCCACTCACTTCTTGCTACCCATTGCTTGCTCACTTACAAGGTTCTTTCCAGTCCTATCTCCTCCCCAAGGCAAGCCTTTGAAGTGACTACTCCCCACCCTCAACTCCTGTCAGACATCTGCAGAGCTGGCCCTCCTCAGTGGATGTAGAGTCTACAAAACACTTTCCCATATCTGAGAAGTACTTCCTGCACCTTCACTCTTTAACCTTTTGTGCCCCACTTTATTTCTCTTTACTCCTGTTACCATAACCTGACCCATGTATCTATTGTTCTGCTCTTTGTTTCTGTATGTGAGGCCATGACAACCCCTATGGACAGGACACACTCAGTAGATTTGTGTAGATTGAAGACAGCAGAGACATGGGTAGGTGTATACCACTTCTGCCTGCTCTGTCATCAATTTAGTCTGTTTTTCCCTCTCTGTAGCAGGAAATCTTGAGCCCCGGATTGAGGTGCTGATTAACCGGATTAATGAGGTTCAACAAGGTGAGCTCAGGGACATTGGCTGCCTTTCAAGACTAGTTACATGGTTTGCCAGGCCCAGGGTGAAGTGAAAATATAGGGATCCTTGTGAAAAATCTCTAGATATTTTATGACAGCAGCAGTAGAGCATTAAATATAAATACAGAGGCTGTCTGCATGTAGTTGTAGTCCTATATTATCAAATCTGGCCCTGCTGCTACCTGAGCTCAGCAAGAAGGGTCTAGATTCAGAAAACCTTATTTCTTGCTCTATAAAGAATAGACCCTTCTAGATTTGCTTGAAGATAAATGTGAAATGTCATCATTTGCAAGAAATCTTTGAACCTTGTGCGAATGGAGGCTTCATTCATACAATGTTTGTCCTTCTTCTCTTTGATGAAGCAAAAAAGAAAGCCATTGAGGAGCTGGGAGAAGCCCGGAATATCTGGGATGCCCTACAAAAGGAACTGGACTCATGTAAGTGAACTGCGGATCACCCGAGGTCCTCACTATATTCCTAGCTTCTTGTAAGTCCATACTCTAGACACTCAGCTATCTCACCACAGCCAAGGACCTTACCCTTTCTCCAGCCTCATGTCCTTCTAGTCTCTTTATCTCCTGGTGGAAGTGTTCTGGAAATTCCCTCCAAGCATACTCTTGCCTCAGGGCCTATACTGCGGTGCTTCCTGTCTTTTCCCAAATGCTAGCACAAATCCTCTTCTCAGAGAGGCCTGTTCTAGTCATCTCCCTAAAGACACCACTCTGTCCCTTGCTTGGTCACACGCCTCTCCCTTCTTGATGTGTTTCTTTCTAACACTTATGAACATTGCACAGGGTCCTCATGGATGCCATTTGTTAGTGCCAGGGCCTTTTGTTCTTATAGAGGTTGTGGGTACCACAGGGACTTAAACTGAGGGGTCCACACATGTGTTGTGATGGAGTTGTATTTGGCCTCCCAAGTGACTGTCTCTGATATTGCCACGGATGGTGCCTAATGCCCAACATTCTCCATGTTTCCTAGTACGTGAAGAGAAAGTACATCTGAAGGAGATCTTGAACAAAAAACAAGGTATTACCAGCTCTTCTATTTCTTGGCTTTTTATTACCCCACAGAAGCCCACCATCCCTATAGTTGCTGAAACTTTAGAGATCTCCCAACCTTGCATACTTCCTATGGCTTCCTTTAGACCCAGAAAATGTCAAAGTCCAGTCAGGTGTCCACAGATCTAATGTGACCTGGCTCTGTTTCCTCTGTGCAAAACTGATGCCTTGACAGGCTCTGACATGGTCCTGTTGTTCTCCCTGCAGAGACTCTGAAGATACTTCAGCTGCATTGTCAGGAGAAGGAAACTGAGGCACAGAGGTGAGAGAACGTTCCAACATTAGTTTCCCTAAACCTAAACCACACAACAGCCCACCCCATGTTGTAGAAATGGACCTGAATAAAAAGGGCTAGAAAAGAAAGCCTCTAGTTTCCCTTCTGGGGAGTCAGTCAAAGAACATGGCTGAGGACTGCCTCTCTTTCCAGGAAGGAGACTTTGTTGCAGGAGTGCAAGGAGAGGATTACTTCCCTGAACTTACAGATAGAGGAGGAGAAGAGCAAACAGAGGCAACTGAGGTAAATTCCAGTGCATACGGCCTAGGGGAGAATCAGATGGGCCTACAGATGGGGTGATATCAGAGGTGGGTTAGAGTTGTTGTCCGAGCAGAGCCTTGGAAGGGCAGTAGGGGGAAGGTGATCCCCATAGAGCAGAGGGCATGGCAAAGCCCCTCAGGGCTTTATATGAAGATCCCTGGCTGGTCACAGGCTATGTGGTCTCAGCCCATGGCCTTCATGCCTGTGTGATTGACTCCTAGGTTGGATTTTGAGGAACAGCTCGAGACTCTGACAGAGCAACACAAGGATCTTTGGGAATTTCATGTGAGTCACTCAAAACCATGCTTTCCATCTATACATCTTACTTGCTATGCCTTATTCTATGAAAGCTTTGGTGGTCCTACTGTCACTGTCATCATTGCCTGGAATCCAGGCCCTTGTCACCACCCTTGACTCCCCAGTGTCTTCATTGTTGCTCCTGTCCACTCATCCGTGCTGTCCTCCTGTGTCCATTCAGTGGTCAGGAGGAACCATGATGAAGCCAAGGTGGAATCATCCATGGATGCGTTTGGTACCATCACAGACACAAGGGAGACAGTGGGGAATGTGCAGCCAGTATTTGCCTTCAGGAGATCCCAGACATCAAACAAGGAAACAGGATGAATGTCAGGAAGGAAAGGGTCAGTGAGGAGGCCACAGAGGCAAGGAGAGGAGGGAGGAGCTGCAGTGCTGTGCTTGTAACCAAACCTGTAGATACGCAGCCCAGAATTACAGGTTTGTAGGTACTCTCTTAGTGATGCTTTGTCCAGGACCTATTTCCAGGGTGAGAGACGTCTTGAGGGAGGGAGTAGCTAGCATGGCAATAAAGATGTGAGATGTAGTGAGGGAGTAAATGGCAAGATCCATCTAGGCAGGTTTTTCTGAGGCACCAGCAATCCAGGAGATGTGGACAGGTCTTTTTCCTACCCTCTTCAGAGGCCAGAGCAGCTGGAGAGGGAGATTTGTGCCTTGGACAGCAACAAGGAACAACTGCTCAAGGAAGGTGAGGCCAGGGGAGGTGGTGGCCTTGACCTACCGTTGTCTGTCTTCTCTTGCTCATTCCCTTTCCTAATTCAGAGAAACTGGTCGAGGAGAAGCTGGAGGATGTGAAGCATCAGCTCTGCTCCCTGAGAGGGTCTGAGGGGTCCCCCACCCTCACCGAGGGACTCTTCCTCCGCAGCCAGGAGGCAGCAGCAGCAGTGTAAGAAACAGAAAAAGGGGAAGCAGGAGGAGGGAGGGGCCAGTGCTCACCCCCATCCCCCCACCTCAGGCAGCTGTTCAGGGAGGAAAACAGGAAGGCTGAGGAGCTCTTGGAGGCTGCAGCCCAGCACCATCGTCAACTGAAGCAGAGGTGCGAGCAGCTGCAAGAGAAGCGGCAGAGGTGAACCTGTAGCCCTTGCTCCCACTTCTTCTCAGGAAGGTGGTTGAGGGGTCTCTCCTTCCCACTTGGTCTCTACATCTTCTCATCCTCTTTTCCCTTCTGCACCCTTTCTGTTCTTCCTTTCCCCATGCTACCCTCCTACCTACCCCTTCTGGATCAGGCTGAAAGAAGAACTGGAAAAATATGGGGTTCAAGCCCAGGGCATGCAAGAGGAAGGGGCTGGTCCACACGGGCTGGTGAGTCCTTGAATCTGGTGGAAGGGAACTGAGTCAGCTCCTGAGCGGATGAAGAGTGTTCTGCCAGGGACATAGCCAAGGCAGAGGAAGGTTCCTGGGTGATGGGGAGGGGCGGGAAGGGATGGCATGGGCATGTGTATGGTAAAGACTGCCACTGTGGCCCCTGACTTTCCACAGGCCAGTCCCAGGGTCCTAGCTGTCTTTGAAGAGAAAGATCCAGAGCTGCCCACCAAAGAAGGCCTGATACCCTCCTAGGCCAAGAGCACACACATTGCCCCAACCTCATCCTGTGGTGCTCCAGGAATTAAAGACATTATTTTGATACAACTCATCTCAGTTGAGTCTGTGCTGAGTAGGGGTTGGGTGATGGAGCTCAAGAACACAGGACCCTGAAACTGATGAAGCCATAGCCTGACTCTGCCTCTTGGCCTACTCAGTGTCCACCTTGCAGGAACTCAGTAAATGCTTTCCCAAACTCCTTGTTTCTAGTCTCCTCACCACTAGTATCTGACACACTGTTCTTATCCCAGTAGAATGATGCGGGTGTGGACTTTCTCAAAATGGGCTCAATGGGGGGGGCAGTCTGAAACACACCTGTGATGTTTTAATTCCATTACACAGGCCTGAACTGCTTACACTCTCGTAAGTGATAAAGGAAGATAAATGGTCCAAAGCCATTCAGTTCCATGCTGTAGTACCCCTTGGGAGGGGAGAAGAAATGTAACTCAAGACTGTGTAGTCTATGCATAAAAAAGACACTTCTAACCCAGAAAACATGATGCTAGAAATGCTGTGTGTGCAAGGAGTGAATCAGCTAGGATTTAAAGGATGTACATCTGAGGCAGGTTTCCCACCCACTGAGATGTAACCCCCCCAGTTGGGGCCAGTGATGGGAACCACAGTCTGCTTCTCCTGAGTTCAAATACAGTGAATGAATGACAGAAGGATTCCTTCTCTTAACATACCAGGTAGGCCAGAGACACCATAGATGTAGAGAAAGAGCAAGAAAGGCTCTCAGACTAGGGAGTATTATTTCTGTGGAACAATACAGGGACATGGCAAGATGAGGAGTTCTTTACTCAGTTCAGGACTTTGAGCAACAAACCTAAAACTTGATCTCAATTCTATATGAGGTTACTTATACCTGTGGGTATAAATGAGCTGGCAATACCCCATCAAAATGACTCACATCAAGTGAAATTTAGAAAATATATGGCAGTAAATTCACCACATTTAAAAATTGATTCAGTCTCATGAGAAGGATATGACATTCAATTGATGTGCCACAAAAAGCCAAATAATTAGTTTAGTTGATCAAAATGCATTTGGCAAAAATTCACCTATTTATGGAAAAAAAGTAGAAGATAACTTTATACTTACTGGTGAAATGTTTATAGGACTTTGTGTTGGGAGTAATTTATAAGTATATATTCAAATTCTATTCATAATACTTGGCATTCTAGACAGTAAAATGGATAAAGGCATATGAATTTATTACATACTTTAGAAATCTAAGAGTCTATAGAAGAATTACAGAATGGCTAAATGATTGTATAAGTTTGCTAAATATAGATCCATATTAAATGGTCAACTCTATCTGGATACCAGAGAATGATGCTTAGGGTTCTGCAGTTTATGAAGGAAAATGATTTGACACCAATAATATTAGGAATATACATCCACTGAGGACAAGCATGCCAGCCCCAGGCTGCTTCCCACTTCCCTCTCTGTAGGTTGTGCCAGAGTGCATGTCCTTCCTCAGATAATCACAACCACCTAGAGACAAAAGACACATTTCAAAAAACTGAGGTAGAATGTATAATAATCTAACCACATCTTTGGGAGAATCTTACTGTCATTTTAAACCACCAAAATGTATAACAGTGTTGACATATTAAGACGTGGAGCTGTTTAAGACTGTAGAAAAGAAGGATGTCTAAAGAGAAGAGCCCTTGTATAGAGCTTATTTTCAGAGGCTTCTATCAAACAAAATCCATGTGGGTAAAAGAAAAGGTAGGAAGTTGCAGAGGGAGAGGCCGATGCATTAGAGAGAAAGGGGCTAGGAGCTACCAAGCTTCAGAATCCAGGCCTCACCGGGGAAGGTTTACATTCTCAGGATAAAGGTCACTCACATCTGTCCCAGGATTTCAAGGTTGCCATGAGATGATGCTTCTAGTAGCCCTCTCTATTCTTCATTTTTATCTTTTCAAAAAGTGTTATTGTGGTCATATTGCACACACGAAACCCTTGCGTACTGGGTATGGAACAGGCAGATGGCTTGTCTTCTTAGGTCACTATTTGTATCAAGAGAAGGTACATCTAGACATGATACAGATATGTGGAATCATTCAGATATAGTGGCTTTGAGTACAAATTGGATAAATGGGAACTTAGAGTTGTTCCCTGAGTGTGATGTAAAGTTGAGATACATGTGGGAAAAAAGGAATTCAGGTATGTGGTGAACACTGCCCACTCATTTTCAGCACTGTTTTTTGTGAGAGGTATGTGTATCTCCTACCCTTGAAGAACTTGGACAAAGCCAGAGAATTTATTTTTGCAGTGGAAGCAAACTGGGTCACTTGTAAGATTTAAGAGCTATCACCTGGTTCATTGCCCTCTTTTGCCAATAGTACACTGACCACCAGTATTCCAGAAAAGCCATTTCACAAGTCTGAGCCCAGAAAGGAGCTTAATGCATACCTTGAATGTGTAAGCCACTCAGAAGTTAGGGCTTTAGTCATTAAAGTATAATCTAGATCACTGCAAATAATACCTTGAGAAACCCAGAATAATAGCATAAGTTAGACACCACTCTGGTTTATAGATGGCACTACAGATCCATGGGATGGATTGATGAAATGTAATAATAAAGGTGAATGATTAGTAGGCAGAATAAAGTTAAGGGTGAATTCAAGTTCACACCAAGTGCATAAATATTTGAGAAGTATAATACATGAGCTACTTGATTTATTATTTATTACTACTTGATTTATTATCCGTTAGAAAAGGCCACTCTAACTGAAACTCATGCAGTCACATGACACATAATGACATTTTAGTCAATAATGGAGACCTGTATATAACAGTGGCACTATAAGACTGTAGTAGAGCTAAACAATTCTGATCACCTGGTGAACA